AACGAGGAGGGTTCAGATTTTGAAGTTTTAAGATCCTCAAGATTACTAAAGTACCAAACTTTTATGTACCCAAAGTCTCACAGACCTGAAGATCGAAAATTGTAAAAAATCTAAGGTTCTAAGATTGCAAAAATCCTGAAGTACCAAATTCTACAAAACCAAAGTCTCGCAGTCCCAAAGATTTCAAATAGCAGAACTCTAAAGTTCCAAAGTGCCAAATTCCCAATTTCTCCAAATTCCAAAAATTCCAAAATTTCAACTAAATGACGTGCAATTGTAAAGTTCCAAAGTTCCAAAAATCCTCAGGTCCCAAAAATTGTAAAAAGTCGATTCGATAATTTTGAGGTAGCGGTCCCACGGTGTCCGTTCAAAACGAAAGAGATAAAAGAGCCGATCGGCAGGTAGCGAAACAAAGAATATGATTTCGTTTTCATATTCCGGGGGCGGGCGTGGCGACGAGCATGGCAATGAGCCTAAGCAGGCTCACGGCCGGAAACGAGGGAGGCACACGCGCATCCGGCGATGCGAGACGTCTACGCAAGATACGATCCTCTCCACCTTGTTTCGTCGCGCGGGAACAGTAAGATTTCTTCGTTGATCTTCGATGACTCGAAGAACGTTCAAAAAAAACGAATCCCTCTTTCAAACTACCGCGAAAGGTATTCTCTGTATTTTCTACGATGCGTTTCACTGAAGTTTCTCGTTCAAAGATTCGACGAAACGAAGATTCGACGTTCACCGATCGATTCTCGCGTGAGGGGGTGATTCACGCCGATTCGATGAACAGAGATCCGGATACGGCGGAGGTGATTTCGTTATGTAACCAAGAAAATACCGTGGTTCTTGCAATTAGGCTTACCAATAGGGACTACTTCGATCGCGTGCCACGACCGGGAACGATGCAACTCTTATTGCTACAATATAACAATTGCACGACTGTAGGACGCGTGTTGCAACTCCCTGATACGTGCATCCGTTGCTTGAACTTTTCCAATCAACCGTTTAACAAGGGTCTTCTTTTTCTCAGACTATTGCTTCATGCGCTGGGATTTTGCCACGAAAAGTTCAGCTTTTGGGTTCAGTCGTGGGACCCGAGAATTAAGTCACATATATATTATACAGCTACTGGTTGAACGTATTAAAACATGCCACTTAAATCAGAAAATAAAAATCATTTCATGAATTCTATATATTATAATACAACTACTGGTTGAACATCTTAAAACATACAACTTATATCAAGAAATAAAAATCATTTCATGAATTCTATATGTTATAATACAACTACTGGTTGAACATCTTAAAACATACAACTTAAATCAAGAAATAAAAATCATCTCATGAGTTCTTTATATTATAACACATCTACTGGTTGAACATCTTAAAACATGTAACTTAAATCAAAAAATAAAAACCATCTCATGAGTCCTATATATTACAATATATTCACTGATTGAATATCTTAAAACATGCAATTTAAATCAAGAAATAAAATACATCTCATAAGTCCCATATATTTTAATACAACTACTAGTTGATCATCTTAAAACTTGCAATTCAAAGCAGACAATAAAATCATTACTTCATGAGTTCTTTATTCTTGTTGTTTAATTAAAGAAATTTAAGTTTGATCATCAGAGGTGCTCTTCACAAGGTCCTCAAAAATTATGTACCTATGTGATATTCGAAATTGAACAATTTCAACTGGAATTGACTTAATTAAAGAAATTTAAGTTTGAACATCAGAGGTGCTCTTTACAAGGTCCTCAAAAATTATGTACCTATATGATATTCAAAATTGTACAATTTCAACTGGAATTGACTTAATTAAAGAAATTTAAGTTTAAACATCAGAGGTGCTCTTCACAAGGTCCTCAAAAATTATGTACCTATATGATATTCAAAATTGAACAATTTCAACTGGAATTGACTTAATTAAAGAAATTTAAGTTTGAACATCAGAGGTGCTCTTTACAAGGTCCTCAAAAATTATGTACCTATATGATATTCAAAATTGTACAATTTCAACTGGAATTGACTTAATTAAAGAAATTTAAGTTTGAACATCAGAGGTGCTCTTTACAAGGTCCTCAAAAATTATGTACCTATATGATATTTAAAATTGAACATTTTCAACTTGAAAACACATTTTAGACATACATTTTTACAGGATGAAATATGAATTAACTTACGGTGTAATAATTCTTTATCTTAATAAGGGTGTCTGACATAACTTGATGAAGATATGAACACATAGCTGTCTACAGTATTGAAGCTTATAGCATTGAAGCAGTATTGAAGCTTACAGCATTGAAGCAGTACTGAATCTTACAGCATTGAAGCAGTATTGAAGCTTACAGCATTGAAGCAGTACTGAAGCTTACAGCATTGAAGCAGTATTGAATCTTACAGCATTGAAGCAGTATTGAATCTTACAGCATTGAAACAGTATTGAATCTTACAGTATTGAAGCAGTATTGAAGCTTACATCTGTATTACATATATACACATATCTTATCTCACATATGATCCCCATATGAACACATATCACTTGAAGAGTATCCATCGATGTTTCAAAAAATTAGCAAACCTCGCGTTTCGACAAATTTCTCAGTATACAAAATTCATTCGTAAGAACGTCGCGATTCCCAGGAGCCAGTTATCCTGCTGTTTCGCGTACATATTTCACGTGGACGAGCAGATCTATCACTCGAATTCGTCGGCCGCAACGAAGTGATGCACGACACTTGGCGGTTTCGACGTGCGACAATCCTCAGATAAATCGTGGCTGGGTCTCAACGCGTGTCAGCCTCTTAAATGCCAGCTTGCGCGGTGCAAATCGTTCTGGTAGCCCGAACCACGATACATTTACATATTATGCGTACACGGTAGCTGGAGCCCCCGGTTGCACCACGAACTGACTCTTAATGTCGACGTCGAACGAACCCTCTTCTTCGTCTTTTAGACGTTACCCTCAGACGTGACGATTTTAAGAAGAGGGGTTCTGATCGCTTGGACCACTGGATTCTTCTTGGGCAAACGGGGAGGATTTTTAGAAAATTTGAATGCTTATATGTGTAAGTATATTTAATGTGTGAAAGTTAGTTTAGAAGGGAAGTTTAGGTGTACGAGAATGATTATGTGGAGAGAAATGAAATGGAGAATGAAAGACACAGTAGATATTGAACATTGTGTCTTCACTAATACTGATGTCACACGTGAAGTTGAATAAAAAATATAATTTATATTTTCTTTTCTGATCGAGACATTTTTCTTCAAACATTCAAGGTAATTTATACTTTTTCAATGGAAGTGATGTACGTATTTTTTATCCTCAAGCAAAAGGTACGAAAACGTGACTTCACAAAAAGATACGACTTCAAAAAATGTATTGAATGTGACTTGACAAGTGTCTGCAGACGTGAGTTGACAAAAAAGATGCGAAGTTTTATTGGATACAAATTGCTGCAATATATTTCATAGAAATAAGTATATTGCTCCGTGCGTGATGTAGAAAATTGTAAAAAGTGGGGATTGGTGTCGAGGCTAATTGTTCGATCTGTATCGAGTTTCGAGACACGAAAGAGAGGAACAGACAGGCAACAATATATTTCCAGCGGCGTCGGTGAATATTTAAATTCGAGTATCGTTATGCGCTTCGTGGCGCCAGCTTCTCTAAACGGTGGTGTCGTCTCGACCCGCAAGAGATGGTGAAAGAGTGAAAAAAAAAAGACAAAGGGTTCCCCGGTTTTTAAGCCGTGTACGCAGCCACCTGTCACCGAGTCGAAAAAGCAAGACCAGTGGCAGTCTACCGGTAACGATTCCTCGCCTGCAGGTCTGCTGCTTCTTGTTTTTCGTTTCTCGTATCTCCCCTCCCTCGTACGTCCATTCCCGTTCACCAGGTTTTCTCGTCGCATTCAGCGGAAATATTAAAATGCCCCGGCGAGTCCTGCACATGACAATAAGTTCTTCGCGCTCCGGACGTGCTCTGGATACCGGGCGTTTCGCTCTTAAACTACCATCCGCGTATACACGCAGACCGTCACGTCGTTCCGTCCTCGTTCGTTGTCCGCCCCGTCCCAAAGGAGCATCCTTGTCGGCCATAATTCGTCGTCGGGGTGTCCTCGGGGATTGAAATGCACGCGGTGCACATCCTGTCCGGGAAAATTCAAATGAGCCCGGCGACCAGGAGATTTGGAAATCTGCTCGAGCCGCCAGCTCTGACGGACGGATTGCGAGACGCGACCGGGAACCATTGGCGTAGGGTGCTGTTACATCCGGGAAAATTCCAATTAGACCATCTATCAAATTTAGCAATTATAAGTCACCACTTGTTGTATGAAGATGGGGATGTGGCGTAGCTAGGTTTATGGCATAGCTAGGGTTTAGGGTGGTTCAATAGGCTTGCAACATCTGGGAAAATTCAAATAATTCTGAAGACGGTCAACTGGAGATTTGAAGATCTGTTTGAAACGCCATGTCTGACGGAGACATCGAGATATGGGAGCCATTGGCGTAGAATTCGGGATGAACAATATCCTTGCAATATAGACTGAATCCTCCTCAACTTCATTGTGCTAGACATTAAAATAACTGCAGAAATATTTGTTAATCCATAAGATCTTCTAACCCTTTGCATTCCTTAATTTCTTTCACCTGTACTCTTTAATTTACAAAAGAGATCAAGAGCATATTAGGTAGAGTATAGCGTACGTATAGGTTAAGAGTCCCAATCAAATGTATTATAACAGCGTGAAGCATATGTCGAATTTTTTCATAAGCAGTAAATAATTTTCATTTATCATATGCAGTAAATAAATCTACTTATCTGAATTATAAGATCCAACAGAAATGTCAAGCCATATGGAAGAGTAGATTTGAAGTATAATAATCGACCTTGGAATTAAAAAATCGAGATAGATAATAACGATACTATTTATTACGGTGTTATTACAATCACTGAACGAAATTCTACGTATCACAGGAATTTATTGAATAATTGTCGTTGCAACGTGCAATTATACATAAAAGGTTGTAGTCAACACGCGCGTGCGTTGCTTTCCGCTTCACACTATGTCAACGCGCTCGTTGGCGCCTTAGTGAGCGCGTAACATACGATTCGATCAATTTAAACGATCTCGCCGCAATTTCCTTTCTCGAACCACCTGAAAATGAACTCCGATATACAAAGAAACGTAGATCGGTAAATAAATTGTTAGAGTAGAATGATTTACTGTAGAGCTTGCTCGTCGAAATTGACAAAGATCAGTCGCGGATTCCCCCTAAACCCGCTTCAATCCCCATCAAATCGTTCGCATGCTATTTAGCTGACTTTTAGCTCGACATGTCTTGCATCAAGCGAACCATTTAGCACCTATGTTCGTGAATAGGAACAGCATCCAATCGGGAACATTGTAGGGGAAGAAGGAATCAGAGTCGCGGAATATTTTCTTTGTCTGAAAAGGAGAATAACAATTTTTAATTCATTACATACTTATAGGCTTCAATTACCATTTACCTAAATTTCTATAAATATTTTATATTGGTCTTATCATTTTATATGATTTAGTCATTTTAATAACCATCTTGTTAAAAATTTATTTATTTCAAAATTAAAAGAATTTTATTAAAATCTATTATGCCTTAAATCTCATTAACGTTACTTTACTGCAAAAAACATAATTATTTTCATTTAATGAAAAGATATAAAATATTCTCACCGGTAAGCTCTTTGGAATATCGTCAACCTTTTCCGTCCGTTTAGTGTAGTTCTGAACGCAAGTCACCAACGCGTTAGCTTCCTGAAGATTCGGATAACTCCTAGTATTCGGTGTTACATTGGGTTTTACTTCTTGTATGTCGTTCACCGTCCTCAGGCTAGCTTTGTTCGGTTTCATAAACACCGTCGTCGGCTTTTGCAAAGATACGCTCTTTGTCAATGGCTGGACTCTACTAATATTTCAATCAGAAAATTTATTACATAATTCTATTAAAGAAACGATTACGAACGTACCCATTTTGAACATGTTGTCGTACGCAAACTGCTGCCAGCAGACACAGTGCGTACATCGGATTATTCACGTAACTTAATTTCATAATAGATCGCTGGAGATTTTGGAGCGCGGAATTTTGGAGAATTTTGAAAATTTACTTGGAATTTGTGGTCGAAAGTTTCGCGTGGCCGAATGATGGTTCCCGTTCTTCGGTTGTCAGAAAAACGACTGTCGTTGATTGATCGGTCCGTCTCGATCGCGCTCGATGCACCGCCATCTTGCGCAATCGTTCAAGAAAAATCTGAATAAATGAACGATCAGGAAACCGTGTTCGAAGCTTTTTATTCGCGAACCGGTAGACGCGTATTTCGAGGAAATTGATAATCAAGTAGGACGCGAACAGCAATTTGTTTTGTCTCTATATATTTAGCCGTAAATGGAGCAAGACGTGCGTGTGAAAAATCACGCCAGCAGCGCGTTTCGTAACTTCGATCGATATTAAAACGATCTCGAAGGGTGCAGCCGGTGCTAATGACAGACAGGAAAAAGCAGGTTACACGACTTTTAACGAGTTCCGCGATTACAGCTACGTATACGGCGAGCGATTACGCGAAACGTTCGATTATTGTGTTTCATGAATGTTTAACGCCGTTTCGCGCCTTTCACATTTTCTCTCGTTTCGAATGGCAGTCTCAAGTTCAATACCTTTTTTCTCCGTCTGTCGACTAATATCCGCGGGTATTAACCTTAATTTAACATTAATAACAAAGAACGTTATGGCCGTAACTTTGACCAACCCTTTCGTTGTTAAAATAGTCGCTCAAGGTTAAACGTTCGATCATTAATAAATCTCGTTCTTAATAGTACTACGATTACAGTAGTTTAAGGTGTTAACATTGGAATCCAGATTACTTATTGTTTATCACATTTTACAAGCTTATAATTCCCGACCGATCTTCTGGCAAACTGCTCGAGCTCCTTAAGTAGAAACATTACCACGATCATCAAGGAATCGTAGGCACGAAACATCACATTGTTATGAATTTCATTTGATGCGTTAATAATTCTATGGTACGTCCATTCGAATTACTATTATACTTTGCTGGCCAGCTTGTTAATATACAGCGTTGATAAAACTTTGAACCGCTCCAAGTTTCTTGTAGCTCTTGAAATATTCTGCGAGTACTTGACCCTTGGACTCTGCACTTGGTACACCTCGTTATCCTTCGCAGGACTGTACCGTTTAACTATAATAACTTCCAAACGAAATATTCTTAATCTTCTCGTGACATTTTTGGGTCATACGGTTCTTTTAAATCAACTATCTTTTCGTCATCGATCAATCTGTACCATTAGTGAAATTAAGGATGTTATACTGCCACAGGGTCAATTGAAAGTTTCATTATTTAGGAGTTTGATAATTATTATGAGTCGTGTGTGTAAAAATTTAAATCTCACGAATTTGGAAACTTTGAAGCTATGAACATTTAAAAATTGTCATTCTCGAAGGGAAAGAGCGAGGAAACAAGAAGACTTGCCTATCGGGGTCGCCGATCAGTTCGATGCTGGGTGCCCGATCCAACACGTTCAAAATACTAAAATTTGCCAGAGGTAATCGTAATAAGTTATTCTCCGTCATGACATTATCACGGCATCAGTATCCGGCGGATCTCCGTCAGTTTCGCGTCGTGGATTCCGCGCGACAAAGATGGCAGAGGCAGCAGCTCCCGGCGTGCAATAGGAGTCGGTTCGAAAGCGTCGGTCAGCTTGGAGCTGCCGGTGCGCCGGAGATCGTGAGAAGTACTCTAGATCAGCGAGCAGGATCTACCAGGTACATATCGCGGGGCTGTTAGAGTCAGATCGCTAACAAAGTGAGGATCAAATAATAACACGTTAGGATCGCTCTGGCCGAAGATAGATGGCGCACGGTGTGAGTGAATAATTTGATAATGGCGGCGGCAGGAGCGACGCCAGCGTAGCAACGCTCGTTGCTTGCCGCCCCCGCCGCTTCCTTCTAAGATCGAGGACGAGAGACCGGTCGAAGAGGGAAGATGATCTGCGATCGTTGCTCGAGATCTAGCGCTCGTTGCATCTCCCTCGTTCCTCTCTCTCGCCTCTTAAGCCAACACCGTCTTATTTTCTTCGTTCGTCCTGCTCCGGCGTGTGTTCCACCTTCTCGTCCCACTCTCGATCTTGAAAGATCATGCCGCGAGATCACGGGGCTGTTCGTGATATACCCGCCGCGGACGGGTTATCCGCGTACCACGAGAGGATCGCCTTTTCTGCCCCGTGTAAAGGGATATTCCGGTGTTTTCGGGATTTTTGTAGACGACCTTAATGGCGGATGATTGTGTGCCAAAGGTAACCTCAGGTGAAAATGAGCCATCCAGCCGAGATCGGTGTGTGTAGCTCGATACGGAGCCTCTAACCCTTGACGATCTTCGCTTACTGCTCGATCGAACGTATTTTCGTCCTTTTTTCTCTGCCTGGGTCCTTAGCAGGGGGATCCACAGATTGCTGTTTGGCGCGAGGTGTGTGCAATTTTGTAGCACTTTGGAGCGCGATGAACTCTACCCTGTGGGGCTCGCGGGTACTCGAGTTTCGTTTCTGGAGGAATTTTTGTGGGGTGTCGATGGTTTATGCGATTACTCGAGTCAATACCAGCGTGTTACAGGTTACGTGTTAAAACCGCATATTCTCTTTGTGAGAACCGTATGCACATATCCGCATGCTTTCGACGTAATTCACTAGATTTTTACAACAAGGAACTACTAAAAAGAATAGTACAAATTTAAATGTCTAAACGACGCTTGCAAAAAATTGGCAAACACGTAGGTCCTTTTAACTTTCTAATTTTAAACGTCGATAAAATGAAACCCTCCGAGTTACAAAACGACCACGAACGTCTCGATTATCGACACGAGGATTAAGAGGAGATTTCGTTTTGCAATTACGCGTATAGCGTCGATCCTCATCGCGATCTCGTCGTTCGATTTCCTACCGACAAGCGCGTAATTTACTCCCGCGAGCGGAACAGCGCACGATTACCCGTATTTATACCGGCCGGACGGCTCTAATTGCCTTGTGTAATTCTCATAATCGTAAATACACGCGTCAAAAGGTGTTGAAACTGCAGCACGCCTCGAGGAGCCCGGACTCGATAAATAAATCACGGACAGAGCCGGGGCAGATACGTAATCTAATTCCGCCAGTAGATACGAGTAGCGAGAGGCTCGAGCCGGG